ATTGCTCTGGGAGCTGTCACGTTTATCTATATCGTTCATATATATATATATATATATATATATATATATATCTAAATGCACATAGATACACTGCAACCCTTTGTTTATCTATATATAGTTTTACTTCGATTATCCCACCCAGCTTACGCTCTTGGGTTTTATGTAAAGCCGGCCGACTGAGAAGGGGGGGATTTATATCCGCCCGCTCCGTTTGAGTTTGTAGAGTTGTCATGAGGCTTACTTATGGTACTATTTATACATTGGTCAGTAATGTTTAAACTCTTTGGGCAATGTGCATCAAAGTACTGATGAGTGATGCTAGTTCATGTTTGGCACTTTGGCTTACATTGTATACTTTTGGAGTGATGCATTTTGCTTACATTATATACTTTTGGAGTAATACTAGTACATTTTACCAGAAGATTAGAGCAGCAGTGCTCAGGGCTTTGGCTGATCAAACTAACAGACAGGGGCGGAGCCAGGGCACTGGGCCGGACTGGGCCGGTACAAAGAATATTTTTGGAAAAAAATTTAAACAGAATTTTTTACACTAAAAATTAAGCCATTTTTTAAATTTGGGGTGGGCCATGGCCTAGGTTGGCCACCCCGTCTCCGCCCATGCTCACAGATATGAATTGGAACCACTGGAGTTAAAATCGTTGCCAGTCAACTATTGGGGGGTAGGGGGGTAGGGATGGACTCGGTTCGGGGCGCCCGGCCCGGAACTGGCCCGGCCTGGTACTGTTTAGAACCGGCCTGGCCCGGGAAACCGGTTCCGGTTCTGGTTCAGGCCTAGGCCCGAGGGGTTAGGCGGTTCCGGTTCACGGTTCAAGCAAAAGGTGAACCGGCCTGGCCGTGCTGGGCCTGGTTCGGCCCTTTTATATTTTTTTTGGGTTTGGGTTGGGTTTAGTGGGGTTGGGCTGGGTATTTCCGAGGGGTTTGTGGGGTGGTGGGAGATGAAATAAATAAGAAATAAAAAAAATTGAACTGTAATCGGCCCAGAACCGGATTGGCCTGGAACTGCCGCTACCCGGGTCAGATCCGGTTAGGGTTGGACTCGGGCCGTGCCAACCGACGTGGAACCGGACCGGCCCGCTATTGTGCGGGCCCAGACTGGCCCGGACCGGCCTGGTGAACCGGTTGGTTGGCCGGTTCGGGCCACACGTCCTGGTGGGATGGCGGTTTGGGCTCGGGTCCTTCAAAAGGAGAACCGGCCCGGCCGGTTCGGGCCCGGGCCGGGCCAGTTTTTTTTTTTTTGAATTTTTTTTAAGTTTTTGGGTTGGGCTGTGTATATTGATGGACTCGAGCCGGGTCAGGCCTGGGTCGGGTCGGGCCCAGGTCGAGCCTAGGCCCGGTCGGGCCACCGGGTTGTATGACATGGGCCCGGGACCGGCCCGAGGGTTGGACGGGTCCGGTTCGGGCCGGGCCACCCGCCCGGGTCACGGGTCGGGTCCGGTTCGGGGCCGGGCCGGTTAATTTTTTTTTATAATTTATATTTTATAGTTTATAGTTTTATACGAGTATTAAAAATAAACTTCAATTGCATTTATTTGAAATGAAATAGGAACTAAATTTGAAAATTAAAACAAACTTTAAGAGATAAACATTTTGAAATTGTAATCAATCGGAACTTCCCGCACCTCCCGATCCTTTGGCTTTGTCACATGACTTCATATGTTTGATTGCCATCCCGGATCCGCCTGAAATCCCCATGCTACATTTTTTCTCGCACCATTTGCAAATTGCGTACCACATCCCGGTCTTCGGGTCCTTCTGCTTATCAAAATTATACCGTATAATGGCATCTTGATTTTCCATCTTAACTTCTGAAGTATTAAACTATAAAGTAGATATATAAATAATAAATATAATATATTGGAGAATAAGAGAATTAGAGAGTAGAGAGTTAAGAATAGGATTTAGGAAGAATTGGAGAAGAGATATGAAAAAATGTTTAAGATTAGGAGTATTTATAGGTTTTTTTACCCCCCACCCCCACCACCACCCCACCACCACCCAACCCCCCGGACCCCCCCTTTACCCCACCCAACGGCTATATAGCTGTTTGGGTTGTCCCCAGCCCCACCCCCAACGGCTAGTCACTACAAAAAAACACGCCGTTTGTCACGGATTTTTGTCACGGATTCCGGCCGTGACAAAGTTGTCACGGGCTTTGTCACGGAATTTTAGGATTTGTCACGAAAATTATTTGTCACGGATTTGTCCGTGACAAAAGCCGTGACAATAATTTGTCACGGATTTGATCCGTGACAAATTTACTCCGGCGACCGGTTTTTTACCCCGGTGAATATTTTTTTGCTTCCGGGCATTTGTCACGGACAGATCCGTGACAAATTCGTGACAAATTTCAAAAAAACTTAATTATTGATTTTCCAGCGGTAACCTTTAATAATACGGTACGGAAAAAGATTTGTCACGGATAAATCCGTGACAACTCCGTGACAAATTTCAAGAAAACTCAATTATTGATTTTCCAGCGGTAACCTTTAATAATACGGTACGGAAAAAGATTTGTCACGGATAAATCCGTGACAAATCCGTGACAAATTTTTTTATATAACCCAACTCCATCGTCCATTACAATTGCAAGAACAACAATTATCAGTTCAAAAATTCGTAGATTCGAGTGATGTAGTACCGGTTTAAAGATTGAATGATGTAATCCGTCAGTTCATCATTTTCCGAGTTTATGCAGATAAGGTATGTCATTTTAACTAATTTCTTTTAATTGTGTGATAAATTAATTATTAGCTTAATAATTAATTATTATTAGTGAGGTTAGGATTCTTTTTTCTTTATATAATAATAATTAATTATTAGCTTAATAATTAATTAGTGAGGTTAATTAGTTGTTCATTTCTTTAAACTATTAACGTAATTTAATTAGTGGGTCATGTTAATTTTCATATTATTAATAATATATTATTAAACTATTAATGTAATTTAATTAGTTAAATTTAAATATAAATATTAATTAGTTAAATTATTGTTATTATTAATGCATAATAATTTAGGATGTGTAGTGATGATTTAAGTATTAGCTAGCTTATTATAGATTAATTAATTAGTGACTTGTAGTGATTTAATTAATTAGTTAGCTAGCTTAATTATTAGGTTATTAATTATCACCAATTATTATTTATTAGCAATTATTGTTAATGGGATGCATAATATAGCTAGCTAGCTAGGATTGAAACTTTATTATTATTTAGTTTAGTGTGAATTATTATTGTGAATTATTAATGAGATAATATTTAACAATAATATTAGTTAAATGTAAATTAATTAAAACATTGAGGAAATGAGTTTAGAATTTGATGAGTTGATAATATTAGTTAGATTTAAATATTAGTTAATTGATCAATGATGATGATTACGTTTAATTTGTTTATTAATTAGTTAATTATTGTTAATGCATAATTTAGGATTTGTAGTGATTTAAGTTAAGATTCAAACTTTATTAGTTAAGTGTGAATTATATATTATTGTGAATTAATGATATTTAACAATATTAGTTAAATGGAAATTAACTAAGTAATAAGTTAAATTAGTTAATTATTGTTAATGAGATGCATAATATATATAGCTAGGATTGAAACTTTATTATTATTTAGTTTAGTGTGAATTATTATTGTGAATTATTAATGAGATAATATTTAACAATAATATTAGTTAAATGTAAATTAATTAATTAACTAATTAAGTTAAGTTAAAACATTGAGGAAATGGGTTTAAAATTTGATGAGTTGATAATATTAGTTAGATTTAAATATTAGTCAATTGATCAATGATGATGATTAGGTTTAATTTGTTTATTAATTAGTTAATTATTGTTAATGCATAATTTAGGATTTGTAGTGATTTAAGTTAGGATTCAAACTTTATTAGTTAAGTGTGAATTATATATTATTGTGAATTAATGATATTTAACAATATTAGTTAAATGGAAATTAACTAATTAATAAGTTAAATTAGTTAATTATTGTTAATGGGATGCATAATATATATAGCTAGGGTTGAAACTTTATTTTTATTTAGTTTAGTGTGAATTATTATTGTGAATTATTATTGTGAATTATTAATGAGATAATATTTAACAATAATATTAGTTAAATGTAAATTAATTAACTAATTAATTAATGTTTTTGTCACGGAAATTAATCCGTGAGACTGTTTGTCACGGATTTGTCACGGACGCCGTCCGTGACAAAACACTTCACCGGAACTCCATCGTCTTTCATTTTTCCAGATTGCAGATCCGACCAAACAGAGATCTGAAGTGGTTGCTCTACATGAGGCTGCAATAGTGTTGTAGAGGTTGCGAAGATGAGGGACGACGGCGCCACTGGTGCCGGAGATGGTGGTGGTGGCGCTTGTGGCGCCGGAGATGGTGCAGACGACGGCAGAGATGGTTGCGGCGCTAGTGGCATCGGAGATGACAACTGTGTTGCGGGAGACATGTATTGTGCGTTGGAGATGATGACTGTTTTTTATTATCATTAAAGAAATCAATTCTAATTTTTCATTAAAGGTATTCTTGTCTCTTGCTATATATTTCCGTGTGTCAAACTAATGGTGGGGATAGGACTCCTATTTTTGCATTATTGGTATTGATGGAGTAATGGGACTAGGCCCAGAACCTAATCAGTCCAAGTCCCCGAACTTGGACCCGTGGATCCAAGTCCACAATCGGAAGAGTAACGATCAAGCAATTAATGCGCTATAAATTATGTATTTAATTCCGTATTAATGTTGTAATTAATTAGTCATTATTATCGGTAGCAGTTACGATTTGTATACGCCTATAAAAGGCGAGTTGTAATTCAGATTAGAAGAGGCAATTTCTATATGCTATTTCTGGCTAACTTTCCATATTCATACTTTCCTAATTCTTGCTGGAATGTCGTACGTAACTTTCCTAAAAACCTACGAGCGTCCTATTTTGGACCAACAGGTATGTTTTACTCCTAAAGTGGGAATTCTCTCCTAAAAATTTTCCAATTAAATAATTTGAATGTAAATAAAATATGAAATATATGCAATTGGTACAGCGTCCTTGTATTTTTGCTGGATACCACAGCAATCACCATAAATAAATGGATGAAGTATGGGAATTGCAAATTGCAATTACAAAACTGCATGTTTCAATTTCGAAATTGCAATACCAAAGGTATGGCGTGACATTAACTTATGATGACTAACCTACACATACAAACGCATGACGCGAAATACTGAAAACAGAGTTCAAAACAGGAAGACTCTTTCACTTGATCTCAACGTCAATGACCTTCTTCTCCACCTTCGTCTTCGGGACGGAGATGAAAAGCACCCCATTCTTCAATTCCGCTTTCACCTTATCCTTATCACAGCTTTCCGGCAGCTGAAGCCGGGTATCGTACGAATTGTAACTCTTGGACCACGAATCGTCCTTACCACCATCATCCTTCTTCTGTTCTCCCTTGATGACCAGAACGTCGCCTTCCACAGAGACCTTCACCTCTTCTTTGGAGAGTCCAGGCATGTCGAACCGCATCTTAATCTCTTGTTCCTCGTCTCTAATGTCCCATGGGGCCCGCACTTCTCCCGTAGATCCGGTTCTTCCCGGGAATGTCAGGACGTCGTCGAAAATCCTGTCCATCGTGTCCAGCATTTGGCGCATTGTTCTCATTGGTGACAGAGGATCTAGCAGACCTGTTCATATCAATCCAAGACGATCAATTAAAAATTGAGTACACATCAAAGAAAATTTGAAAACATTCAGTTAGAAAATGTCATTCACTCATTCCATTATCGAATCTAAAGGCATAAACACTAAAAATCTAGATTAAATGTCATCTCAAATAGATCGTTGACTCACCGAATGGGGAAGCATCGAGGGCGGACAACCGGCGAGGCCGGCGCTCGACAGCGCGGCTGCCGTCTTTGTTGCTGACGGCGGAGGCGGCAACTTGATTGCTGCTTACGCGATGCACGTCGACGGAGGTGTCCTGGCTCTGATCTCCACCGGAGGACTGAGCTATGAGTTTGAACGGCCTTCTAACACCGCGGGAAGAAGGGACTGAGACAGAACAGGGACGGATTGTAGAGAATTTCGGAGTTTTGTTGGAAACGGAGGGGTTTAATGACAAACGAGAAGCAGAGCATGGTAGAGTATTAGCAGCCATTGAAGTAATTAGGGATTGCTTTGAAGCTGGTTCGCTGATTTATGCTTTGTTTTACTGAGCTGGGAATGTGAGGGAGAATGGGTGTGGCTTTATAGGGAGTTGAGAGAAGGTACCAGAGAAATCTTGAACGTAGGAGTTTGAAGGAGAGACCGAAGTCCCTGTTCGACCAGCAGTAGACCGCTTCTCCTATCTTCTCGAAACGTCCTATGTGTTTATAGACACTATAAATAAAAGGAAAATTGCAATTTTCCTTCCGTAACTTTCCGTCGTTTTGATTATTACTTCTGTAACTTTAGTCACTTTCAAATTTAGTTATGTAATTAATTAATATTTCCGATTTAAGGACTTTCTCCTTGAAAAGTACACTTTCTGGCGGTATTATACCAGAAAAGATGTCACTCGTGTCTGATTCTTCTGCCGGAAATTATACTTTCTGGTGTAAAAGTCCCGAAATTACAAAGATTTATTGGTTACAGGACCAAATTTGCAAGTGATTAAAGTTACATGACCAATAACAATAACAGTCGAAAGTTTTTTTTTAACAGACGAAAGTTACATGACTAAAATTGCAAATCTCCCTAAACAAAATCAGGCTTCTTAATTATACTCCCTTTTACACTTTTTTTCATACTCCTGCCCTCTTTTAATAAGTTTTCCTGTTTTTGTCAAAAAGAAAGCTTATTTATGAATTATAAAAGTAATAAGAGATAAAAGTAACCCGTAGTACAATATTTTGAAACTACATTGAGATGAGGCATAAAATCGGATAGCCTCCAAGAACCAAACAAATGCGCTAATCACGCAAGTATGTAGACTAATCTAACAACACCGTTGAACTTGCTACTCAAAAGAAAATTCAAAGAAAATAAATTGTCCAAACTAGAAAGGAAATAATTTAAATCAAGAATCTCGACTTCACCAGCAGCCACTTAAAAGGGATAAATGATTTGACTAGCAAGCAACAAACGAAATTTAGCCAATTAAAAACTTTCCGAATCATCGATTTGACCAGCAGCCTAAAAAGAGATCCAGATGAGCATTTTCTTCTTCTCACAACGAGGTGGTGGTTCAGGTGGAGGGAGAGTAATTGAAGTCTCGGAACAACAAGGTTGAAAAAGCTTTGTCAATCATGAACAACAAAAATTCACCAAATTGATTACACATACACCAATGAGAAACACACATACTCCAGAAATTGCTACGAGAATACCATACCACACGCTCACCTGAAGAGAACAAAACTCTCAATCGTCGAGGAAACTGGACCAAAACCTTCGAAAGTAGAAAATAAAATTGAGCAGCACCATAGAAAAATCTTTGATTCGATCCTTCACTGCCTAGAGAATGTCATAATCTTCCAAGGCTATTGCTGAATGAAAAAGAGAATGTCAAAAGATCTTATTTTGGAGATGACGGAGATGGCCGCCTAGGGTTTCTCCTAGGGCCGGCCGGCTCTTACCCGTCACACCTTGATCACACAGTTAATCAGTTTCCCATTCTTAATTTTCTTAAAAATATTACTCATATTTTTTCGTTTTAATCAATTAATTTGTTGTTATGTTATTTCTCTCATGTACAAATCTCAACCACACAATTTTATTTTATTATTTTTTGTACCGGGCAACTTGGTTAAGTTTGAAAAGAATAAAAGGTAGGAACATGCATTTTGAACATTATGGATTATCAATGGATCGGTTTTGAACCCAAACTCTATCCACAAGGAGCGTAGCTAGGAGGGACAACCTAGGACACGACCATCACCAATAATTTTACTTAAATTATTAAGGGAATAAAAATCTTATAAAAGTATTTCAAAATATTCTTTGTATCCGCTCACCCCAATAAACAGCCTTGTCCCCGCCACTTCTATCCACACTCGTCTTTTTTACTGACATTGAAATCGGTATGATATTGAATCCGGTTTTAGGATATTTCTTTTGGACTGTAATTTGCTAATCTAGTCTAGTCTGATATGATCTGAATTGATTTGCTCTGATTTTGTTTGATCTGGGCTCAAAAACAATCCAAAAGAAAGCATTATATTTATGTTTGTAAGACTATACTCTAATTTCAATTCGTTTCCTAACCTATGGTGAACAGATATGGTAAGGTACACAAATAGGTACTCAAATAAAGTACACTATACAAGCACGAACAACGATACAACTTTTTTAAAATATTGTTTAAGAGCACAAAATTATTAGATCTGATTTTATGAAAAATAGATTTATTAGTGCTACCTAATCTCGAATTTACTAATGGCTCACTCGTTCTTATTCTTATATATATATATATATATATATATATATATATATATATATATATATATATATATATATATATATATATATATATATATATATGCATATATATATAGTGCTACCTAATCTTGAATTTTCTAATGGCTCGCTGGTACTTATTCTTATATATATACACACACAAACTAGGTTTTACGCGCTGTGCGCGTATATTTTATGCTTGCCCGGATTGAGATGTTCGCATTTTAACATTAGCTTTTATTTATTTGGACATTCATATGTACACGAGTCTTAGGGTTGTCAGTAAAGCAATTCCTAAGGATTTTCAAAAGAGTAGTTTACATAGCAGCGGATCATGCTGTTATTATTTCTACATGTGTTGGATATTACAAAATGTTATCATTAAAGAAGTCTGTACATTATTCGTTACTTGTAGCCTTTTTTCTTGATTCCTTGGATTGTCTTGATGAGGGACTCATCTTCTTCACTTTCTTCTATCATTGGGATGTGATTGGGTGTATTGATGTTGGCACGCTTTGGTCTGATGCTTGGGTCAGAATTGGTTGGCTCTTCAAAGGATATTGGTATCTCAAGTTGTCATTTTGAGGATGTGGCGGAATGACCTTGTTTGGTGTCTGGAGTATCAGCGTTTTCTGTTTGTTTTTCATTGTCTTTAGGAAGCGTGGCGTTTGGAGAATTGGAGGTGGTGGCAAATTGACTTTGGTGAGGCATACTATAGAGTGACTTGCGGATGACCTGGGTTGTTGGTATTTAGAGATGGACTTCACTCCAGCGATAAATATAAATGTAGCCAATTTATCGTCAAACTCTTGTAGTTCAATTTCCATGTCTTTGTGAATCCCTGCATATTGAAAGAGCTTCTCCACATCGTGGTTGAACAAAGTGCCGTCAAGTTTTGCAGTCTTGTCTTCCAGCTGGACTTGTATTCTAAATCTGTAAATGAGATGAAATATGAAGTTGGAGTTTTTTGTTGTGAGGCTGGAAATGATTATGTATAAATAACTAATATTTGAGCATACCTCTTGGATGTGATTCACTTTGTTGGCCACACTACGTGCGAATACAAATCATGAATACACGAACACGAAGCACAATAATCTCGACTCGTAATATAATTGCCAGAAATATAGAAGAAGATCCACCTTACGTAAATGGAAAATGCATATAATGGAATTCATAGTGGAATACACGTGCATGCTAATTTTAATTATCTAAAATGCATTAAGATGTGATGCGTTTGGGGTAGACTGCGTGTGACTCCACTATTTAATTATCATTAACAGATTAGAGTTAAAGATAACGGAAAAATCTATCTAATAGCACATGGTACAATAACTAAAGCAATGACGGAAAAAAGACCACAGCTAGCTATGACACTTCGTACTCTAAGGAATAAGGAAGACTACGTAGTTCATTTTGATGTATAGAAAGTAAAGTGTTGAGTTATAAGTTAATTTATTTTTGGGATTATAATCTAATGAAATTGTCACAATAAATATCAATTAACCCAAAGTGAACTGATATAGAAGTCAAATAGATAAATAATTAAATACATAGTGCTACGGGTATCAAATAAATAATTAAATAAATAAATTCTTGTAGATCAAACCGTTCAAACGCATAGCGTTACAGGGAATATATGATTATTAAAACAGGAAAAGATAAAGAACAAAATAAAGAGAAATATTCTTTGAAGTAAAATTGAGCAAAGTATAAAAAACAATAATGTTTAGGGTAGGATAATAAAACTAATGAAAAAACAGCTTTAGGTTAATGGAATCACAATATGACCGGAAAGATGGAGCGAATTCTTTGACGAAATCTTCAAAACTCGATCAAGGAAAAAGAATGTTGAGAGTGGGATTTGAACCCACGCCCTTTCGGACCAGAACCTTAATCTGGCGCCTTAGACCAACTCGGCCATCTCAACCCGTTGATAACAAGTTATTATAGCTTGATAAAGACAGAAGTTTTAGAATACTGTGAGATCAATGAAAACATCCCCGTTAGGCGGCCGTTCGAAAGCATTATTGTAGCCCACTAGCTCGTTGCAATAATTATTGCTAATTAGAAACGATACAATATTCAAAAATTAAGGGAAATTCCTGCAATACGAGTTAAAAGTGTTTGGATGTTTCAAAATAAGATTGTTGTATTTTTATTCTGTCAAACATGGAAAACACTGTTAAGTTTAAAGCAAATACAACAAAAACATGTCAATAATTACTCATATTTAAGTAATAAAAACATAACGCGAAATTCACAAGAATAATCCATACTTTTGTGCATTCTACTTAGAGTGACAATAAAAATATTTCAGACTAGTAATAGTGTCGACAAAAATAAATTGGAGGTGAAATCAAACTAATACCCATTTAATATTAGCAGCCCCTACCTCACTTTCACATTTACACTTTTCGTCTCGATTAACACTTTTATGTTTCAACTTAGAGAAAATCGCTGTTAACAACTGATTTCGTCCCAAAGTTCTTTCGCAACAGTAAAGTATAAGAAAGTAGAACGAAGTTCAGGCGCAATAGAGTAAATCAACCAAGATAACAAGAGAGCATTGATACGATACCATACAGCATAGGATGAAGAGTTATCTGGACTCGGCTGCTCAATGGAACCATCCAGAAACGCCATTTTGTTTTTCACAGAAAAAGCCATCACGACCGACTTCTTCCAAGCATTGAAATTATCTCCATGAAGTGTCTCAGAGATAATACGCAGACCGGCATGGTCACTAGGATGTAGGTAGTACGGAGAAGAAGGATCTTCAAGAGGATTGAGAGGGAATATAGTAGATTGATTCATCGCAACAGAATTTTGTGCGAAAAATTAGGGTTTGATAGGGCAAAGATCGATTATAGAAATCGAAGAAGAAGAAATCAGAAAAGATGATGAAGATCGTAAC